GGCTTGATCAAAACCAGAACGAAAACATGAAAGAAGCAACTCTTAGAAAATCGTCCCCGCATAACCGTCTTACAGGGGATTATGATCACTAAAGTAAGGATTTTACCACACGGAGATGTAAGGACATGAGGGGCAGCACTGGGAAGTTGCCTGAAAAAATCTGTATCCCGAGTGCTGCGGAGGGGCTGAATCGTAGGCTTGGCCGATCTTGTTGGCCACCTCAAGTTTCGGGTTTGTGGCTTTCCAAGGTGAAATGCACTCCTTGTTCCTGGACCCGAGCAGTTTTCATGGGCAAGGGCCCCAAACCCAGAGACCCCAAAATCCCTCAAAGCCATTCAACGCCTACAACCCCCCACCCCGGTAAGATGGACACTTAAAGGCCATGCTGCACGTGCGTGCCTTGTAAACGAATACTCGTATACAAAGGAAACACCCGCAGAATAGACGCAACGCACCCGCAGAATAGACGCAGTGCAGCCTTAGCCTCGGCACAGTGTGTCCTGGGCGGGGGCGCGGAGGGCGCGGAGGGCGCGGAGGGCGCGGAGGGCGCGGAGGGCGCGGAGGGCGCGGAGGGCGCGGAGGGAGCGGAGGGAGCGGAGGGAGCGGAGGGAGCGGAGGGAGCGGAGGGAGCGGAGGGAGTGGAGGGAGCGGCGGAGGGCGCGGAGCGGAGGGCGCGGAGGGCGGAGGGCGCGGAGGGCGCGGAGGGCGCGGAGGGCGCGGGGTGCGGAGGGCGGCGCGGCGGGGCGGGGGTGTGGGGGGCGTGGGGGGTGCAGAGACTGCCGAAACTGCGGAGGGCGCAGAGGGCGCGGAGGGCGTGGAGGGCGCGGAGGGCGCGGAGGGCTCGGAGGGCGCGGTGTTCGCGGAGGGCGCGGAAGGTGACTATATCCCTTCAACCGAATGCATCGGCGCTGAACCCCTTGTCTTGTCCACGTGTCCCCCACTCCCCTGCTCATGAACCGAATGTCACGCTCCCCATCCGCTCTCCCTGCTCCTTGTCCTCGTCCCCGAACCCGCCCGTCAACCGCACATCGCCTCCCCACGCCACGCCCCTCTCCCAGCAAAAGCCTCCGTGGCCTCCCATCAAAATTGATTCCGTCCGACCCTCCTCCGTTGACCGTCTCCTCTTCGTGGCCTCTTTCGCCAAAGAGCGATCCGACAGAACGCCTTCTGCGCTGTTGAAGTGCCAAACAAGAACCCACTTTCAGACAGGTTTTCGGGAACATTTGAGGAAGACAAAGAGCACGCGCAGCATAGACGTTAAGCGTCCAAGGCATCGCCCCCCCCCCCCCACTAAAGCATTGCAAATCAAGAGGCCGCCAAGCTGAGCGAATCGCCACCTTGGCGAAATGGCAGGGGTTTAGGAGTCAGCTTTTCGATTGTTCTCACCTGCGTAGCTGGCAGAATAAACCCCCAGGCTCGGACTACATGCGAGATATGCCAATGTTTGGGACAAGGCGGGGATTTCGATGCTCGCACAGGTCCCCTCGACTGAGCATTGGGAAGCTGTCACGGTATCAGGGCTCTGACAGAACAAAAAATGCGTCGACGGTGTTGAGGAATTCCAAGCTGCTGAATGCTGTTTGAAGCAAGGCATGTCTCAAAGAGGGCCCATCACAGGCCACTCCAGATATCCCAGAACTTCAGGGAAACCAGGGCTTTCCTGCAGCTCTGGGTTGTCGAATGGGGCATGCCAATCAGCAGAGGGGTCTCGGGCCAAAAAAGCCTCATGATCGGGGGCTCGTATTTCGGGTTTAGGTTTAGGGTTTGATTTGGGCTTTCAGGCATTTTCACGCATAAGATTTGGGGGGGGGAGGGGGTTAACTCGCAATCTCTGATGTTTCTTCGAGAGCCGGGAGCCGGGCCGTCCACGGTGCCGGTGACCTGAGCCGGCAGGGTGTCAAACCATGCACTGCACGTGCTAGCTTTCTGGCAACTACATGCCCGAGCCTTAAACCCGAACAAACTTGAAACCCGGAATTCGTCTGCAACATGTACTTCCCCACCCTAAAAATGCCCGATGCTGTTCCCGAGAACGGGCACCGCACGTTGAAGCCCGAGAGTTTCAGCGCACGGCTCAGCTCCGCGACCGAGATGTCACCCGTCCTCCGTGCCGTCAAATCTGTGGATCGCGATAATTCTTTCCAGGATCTTTTGCGGAATGGGACCCATCCGAAACATACCCTGCTTGTTTGTGGAAAGAGTTGGCTTGGAGGCCTTGCCAGAAGCAGAAGCAGAAAGCAACACAGCAACATAGTATCTTAACTTCCAAACTGCGGGCCCGAAACTTGTTTCCAGGAAACAGCTTTAGGCAGATCAAGGACACAAGTACGTGTCGACACAAGGAACCAGCCCAGGCTCACAATATGCCGTGCTTGGAGCTTAAATCATGCTCGCAATAGCTCGTATCTGCTTCCATTAATTGCCAATGTGGTGTCGGGCGTACGGCGATTTGGGGATGGATGACAGTATGTCACGTTCTGTGCAAGTCACCCCAGTGGGCCTGTCAACGTCAATCTCGCCGAAGATCCTCTTGACGCTTTCCAGGTACTGGCAGTGCAATATGGGCTAAGAGCCCTGCGCTAAATGGGGTGGGCCGCTTCAATATTGGCATCCCCGAAAAAAGGCAACGTTTGAATAGAACATCCTGAAAACAGGATGGGAATCTAAGCAACCGGACGAGGACAAACCATGTCTTGTTGCAACATCTATTTTTGAACTGTTACAACATAAAAATAGCAAAATGAGCGACGGCGACACATCATCCAAATGGACGCCATACACATTAATGCAACATATGTATGTATATATATATAACCACAGTTATGCATGTGGGAAGTCCCAAATTCCCAAACACAGCTATAACTGGAAGGACCCCATACCGTATTTCAATGTAGCTTCTGGCTCTGAGGGACCCTGGCGTAGAGTCTTAAACATAAACTCCGCAACCCAGCTCAAGTTGTTTAGGGATGGTTAGGATCTCCATGGATCTCCTAAGCCCTAGGCCACTCAACCTACCCAAGGGTTCGGAACATCTCAAGCACCAGCGACCGGCCTGCAGCATCTCCTTAGAGTCTTGTTTCATTTTTTGGTGTTCGGTTTGTATGTGTGTGTTTGTTTTTTTGTTTGAGAATGTTGAAACTCGCACGTGGGCGCAGATCGTAGATCTGCACCATTGGGGCTTCGAGTTCGGCACTTTGGGGCTGTTTTGCCACATGCCTAACACCCTCACACACTGCAGGGTTGCAAATCGGTCCATCTAGATCTGGGGTGGGAGTTGTAGGGAATTTGGATGTATAGGAGGGTTCAGCCAAGAGGGAATAGCTGCCGGGGAGCGCAGAACTCCTGCAGCCGAATCTGGCCACCACCCTGGCCCGCATACTTGGCAGCGAGCCACAGCACCTCCGATGTCAGAGGGCAGCTTCCGCGGGGCATGCTTCGAGAAAGCCTGGACACATGCCAAAGTGCAAAGTGCTGAGGGTCTCGGTGGGCTTGTTTGCCACAGGGTTCTATTGCGGTCTTCGAGGCCTCCGGATGCGGACCCGAGCCCCGAGCCCCAAAACCCTCAACCCTATACCCAACCCTAAACCGAAAACCCTAAACACCCAAAACTCCCTAAACACTACGGGCTAAACTTTGGGACGCTTCGGATCTGGATCTTCCGGGTTGACTGTCTTTCAAGGAACACCTAAAACTCCAAACCCTTCAAATTCTGAAAGCCCTAAGCCCGAGATCCAACACCCAACGCCCAAAACTTATGTAAGTTTAAAGTGCTGCTCTGCAGCCCATATCCAGAACCCCAAAGCCAAACCCCCTAAAAGCCAAATCGCTACACACTAAAACCTCTCCTCCCGCAAACCCTACACCCGTCAACCCGAAGCCCTCAAGCCAACACCCCGATACACAGAAAGACACCTAAACCCTAAACCCTAAACCCTAAACCCTTACACCCTTCCCCCCCAAGGGCCCCCGAGAACGGTGGAGAGACTGAGCGCAGGACGGCATTGGCATTGAAGGGCGCGTGGAACATCGATTGCTGGGTGCCCGACTCCTGGGCTGCTGTAGTTTAGGGCTCAGGGCTTAGGGCTCAGGGATAGGGTTTAGGGGGGCTAGGGTTTGGGGTTTAGGGTTCAGACAGGTTTGGGGTTTAGGGTTCAGGAGGCGGGTTTAGGGTTCAGGGGATTTGGGGTTTCGGGTTGTTTGGCACCCGCATAGCTGGACGAACCACTCCGCAGGATTCCAAGTCTGAGTGATGATGCGAAACTGCGTTTGAAAAATGGCTGTCATGGCTACCATGGGCAAGATTAATACGCCACGGCCAATCACCGGTTTCGGGTTTAGGGTTTGGGGTTTGGACTTTAGGATTTAGGGAGGAACTTCATACTACTTGTGGTTCTGTCTTAGACAAAAATGGCCTACCGCTACTTGTGAGGGCGGCAGAAACCCATTCTCGAAGTGATCTAGAAAGAACATGATGTGCTTAGAACGGTCAGTTGGTCTATGTTCCTTCGCAATAACCCTTACTCCACGGCACGAACTAAGTCAGCGCGTAAGGGTTTGGGGGTTGAGGGCTTGGGTTTTTGGTTTAGGGCTCCGGGGTCGAGGGGAGTTGGTTGGCGCTTAGACCCGAGAGACGCATGGTGGCAGCTTAAGCCTATCTAGCGTAGAGTCGAGGAAGAACCTTGGGAAGAAGAGAAACCACGCGAGGAGGAGCAAGTAAATGAGCAAGTCAAGGAGTCACACCTTCAGCCGACTCTTCAGCAAGGCATCTCGTCACATGACCTTCCTGGGACGACAAGATTTTTCCACACTCAGCCATGCTGGCACTCTGCGTCACCTACCTGTCCAACCGCTGGGCCATCAAGTTGACCTCTGAAGAGAGGCAGCTTCTGCCTACCGTACACTGTACACATGCGCCCCGTTCGGCAAAGCCGCCGGCTCGCACGGCCGCGGAAGCATCGCGCATGAAATCCCCAAACGCCCTAAGCCCTGCCGAAAACACTTTACAAGGCAGACAGGCCATGGTAGATCGTCCAAACCATGGCCGCACCTGTCAGTTGGTCTGCCGTGACGCCACAGAGTACTGTTGAGGTGTGGTCCGACAAGGCCAGCCCGGCGTGCTCAACCTGAACAGTCCTTGGCGGAACCAGTCGGAAAAAAGAATCTGCGAGGGGATCTGGGGTACGCGGCTTCGGTCTTGAGCTTCCGGTGCGTTTCTGCATGCCAGAGGCGAGACCCTGAAACGAACAGCCTCCACTCTGTTCCCCCTATGCTCTCTATGTGTCTTATTTGCCTCTTCTTCTTCTTCCCAGCAAGAACTTTATCCGAGAACTCTGTCTTCCTCCCCTCCCCTCACTTGCCGAAAGGATGCCCCTCCCCCCCCCCGGGCCCTACCAGACAAAAATGGCAAGCCCGGCTTCAACACCGAGGTGACGCCATTCTGCTCCTGAAGGTTGGCTTAGCACTTCAGGGCTTAGTCGCTCGCATCTCGGACCAAGACAGGAGTTGGGAAGTTTTGCGGGTCTCTCGCACAACGTTTTTCAGGGTTCTTGAGGGACTCTTGTGTCACATTCCTCCTAGGCGTTTTGTCCAGGGGCCAAAGGTTGCAGGCTTCATGGGGGGGGGGGCTTTGGTGTGGGGGATGTAGGGGGGGGGGCCGCTTTGGTGTGGGGGATGTCGGGGATAGGGTTTTCTGAAGCTTCCTAGATCTCTTTTGCCCTCAATCTTCAGTAGTGCCAGAATCAGCATGTGCCGAATGTAGCAAAGCCGATGATCTGATAAAAGCCTAAACCCTAAACCCTAAAACCGATGTAGGAGTCTTGTTCAAACGTTTTTTCTTCAAGCGCCTCCTAGATTGGAACCTGCGGAGGACTTCGAATGGTTTCCGGGCCTGCGTCGGGTTTGGATTTAGGGTTTTGGGGTTAGGGGGTTCAGGTACTTTCAAAGGGTCTTGTGCCCTGAAAGCAGTTGCGCGATGCATCCTTTTGCGTTTAAGTTTAAGTACCTCGTAAATGGCTTATCTCGCCAGGCTAGGACTTTTTGTTGCCCTGGAACTCGAGATTTTCATTTTTGGCTGGGGGCTCGCTACGCCTACCACATCTCGACGAGTCGTCCCACGCATCTCATTTGTATGGGAAGAAGTGGGCTTTCAACCCTGGACCACAAAACCATCCCTCACACAGATGCCGAGGAGCACCGGCGTGGTGGAAGCTGCTCCCCTTCCGTGCAAGCGCGGCCAAGGAGACCTGCGAGGCGCAGGGGGGTTTGGGATTCAGGGGTCTTACGGGTGTGTCGTGGCTTGAGAGGGGCAGGGCTCTGCAAACATGAAGAAATGGGAGTTCTTGGAACAGCAGAGCTTGAACAGAATTGATGCACTGGGTCCTTTGTCACCCAAGCTGCAAGGTAAGTTTCTGCACCGCGCCTCGTAGCGTTCGAAGACAAAGCCCGGAGAGGCCATGAAGCTTGCCAAAGCCTGCTTGGGTTGTTTTTGTTGCAACCCGCAGGCCTGCGTCGAAAGCACACGCGATTCAAGGAAGGTACAGCAACATTCTTGGGCGTGTCTGCATACCTTGTCGTATTCATGGGCGTTCTCAGTTGCATTCGGAGATCTTGCCGACGCAAGTCAGCTTGGGAAGTTTCAAGTGTCATTTGTAGATTCATGATGTCGGGGCGGGTGTGTATTGCACAGCGTCTTGTTAAGCACCGAACAAAATGAAGAAAGATGTGAACATTCCAAACCGTAGCATCTTCTGCACCATGAATCTCGTCTCTACTTTGGCCTCGGTTTATAATCTCACAACTCAACTAGCGCAAGTTGAGGGTTTAGGCTCTGATTTTCATTCTCGCACGAGGCATGCAAGGCTTCGAACATGTCTCGGAAAGAAACCCGAACTCACTGCACCCGGCATCCAGGTAAACAAGCAGGAGGCACACACACACACACACACACACAAAAGCCAGACCACCCAACACACTCTACCCTAGCCGCATTCAATGGGCACTCTCGGATGTCCAGGCTCACAATCAACTGTCAACGTCCCTGATACTCACCAGCTTAACTTCCTTGTTGCCCGAGTACATTGCTCGCAGCCCATATACTTCAGGGCCGCCGACACAGTTGAGCCACCTAGTTGGATCCCTGGAGTGAACAACGTCTACGCTACTAAGCTTTGCTACCACTGCACGCACGCACACACGCACGCACGCACCCACGCACGCACGTGCACGCGCGCACACACACACAATTGTGCTACCCAAAAATATTGCCATGTAGAACTAGCGCACAGCCAGTGAGCTTGAGCAGTAGGGTTTATGGCTTAGGGATGCTTAGGGACTAGGGTGGCCGTTGAAGTAGTCTCCTCTGCCGAATGCAACGCAAACTGACATGGCACGATCTGCGATCGGTGCCTGGAACTCATCCCTTGCAACCATCCAACTCTTCGTCGTTCCATCCATATCCGACCACTGAACGCACCGCCTGGCTGGCAAGATCGATGAAGATGAACTAGCAGTAACTAGCAACCGTGCATCCATTTTTTTGAACCCAGACTTCTCTCCTTGCTGCTGGGGGCATCCATGAACTAGCAACAGTGCGTCCGGAACTCCAACGCATACTGGCTGAACCTTACCCCCCCCCCCCCCCTAAACCCTAAACCCTAAACCCGAAACCCGAAATCCTCCCTCCAAACAAGCACAGGGAAAGCCGAGCAAGAACCAAACCAAGGCTTCAAAAGATGCAATCATTGCAATCGGCCATCGAGTTGGGTGGACAGCTGGGAGGCTCCAAAGCACTAAGCTTCTTGGGAGCTTGATAAGTTTATGATCATGATGGATGGATAGGATTAGGATCTTTACCCACCTTTGCCTTGTCATTACTGTGAATACTGTACGTACGCCACTCGCGGTTCCCCAAAAACTCTTCACGGCGCTAATTCCCCACGCCAAAACCCTACAAAAGAAAAACATTGCGTTGAGTTTGGAACCTTAAGCCCCACCGGAGACCCCTAACCGGGCCTCGCGGCCAGCAACTGCAAATCCCCACGTGCCAGGCACCGCGAGGCTTTGTGGTCCACGTACACTGCCACGGTCTCTGCAGTATCCTACAAGGGGCTTCGGGGTTGTCTTGGGCGGGTCAAGGTGGTCTCACCTGTGTTGCCAAGATCGGGGCCGCCATTTCGGATCTGTAGTCCAGTGAGGTAACACGGGGCTTCCACAGCCTCAGACACCAGACTCCGGGAGTCGGGTCTTTTTCTCTGCAGATCTTGGAGCTGCGAACAAGCCCTCCTCCACACCCCGAGCCCCTCACATCTGGCTGTGAGGCTTTTCTTGTCTCGGCTGAGGCTCGGGAAAGGCAGGCATCGACTTGGAGACTATTTCTAGAGTCTGTCCATGAATCTTGCCAACTTCATTTTTCTGACAGCTGAAAACTGCAACACCCTTTTGACCCCGCGAGCTCTGCCGGGCTTCACAGCCGTCCATGCAGCCTTCATGAGCACTCGTGTAATGCCAAAGGTGTGTCTGGGATCCAAGGCCTAGTACTCGTAACTGCAACACCCTAAACCCGAAACCCTCAACCCTAAGCCCCAAGCCCAAAACCCAGTGTCAAGAACCAGGGCGATCAAGTCGGTTTGGCTGGGGCTCGGGGATGTTCAGGGGTGGGAAAGCCCCTGGGCTCCTTCACGAAAGTCAGACGCGAGCTCTGACCCTTTCCACAGCGGCCGGCGACGCCAAGCACGCAGTTCTGGGCTGGGCGGTTTAGGGCTTAGGGTTTTGGGTTTAGGGTTGAGGGTTCAGGGTGAAGGGTTTAGGGTTTAGGCCTTACCGCGACTTCTTGTGGCCACAAAAACCACCCGTCTAGCGACTGCCCCACGCGGCTACTGTTCGATATGTTTTTGTCCAGGGCCCAACTTAAGTCCAACTTTGACCACAAAGAAGATGGTCGATTCAGGGTTTAGGGCTTCGACTCTCACACTCGCACATGGCCGCCAAGGCTTCGGTTGCTTGGTCACTGGGTGATACCATGACATCCGATCAGGACGACGCTTCTCCGGTGTAGTTCAGGGCTTTTTTGCTTAAGGTTGGGCAAGAGGGTATCAGGTGATGTCTTTGTGCCCGCGCATAGCTGGACGAAACCGCTACACTTTATTCAGGCCCCGCACCTGCTCAACACAAGCATACAAAAGCAATGCTTCGAGGCAGCAAGTTTTCCTCATAATCCATCAATCTGACTTTTCGACAATCCCGGCAAAGAATCTAGGAGGTGAACCCAAATACCAACACATCCGAATATTGAAGCAAATAGTTCCGCAAGAACACAAGGCAACGCACAATGCTCCAAACAGGATTCAGGTTCGGCGTTCAAGGTCTAAGAGGGTGCGATCGGACTTGCCAGCGATCAATCGGGTTGTCAGGATTCTGGACGTTTGGTGCTGAGTCGGTTTAGGCTTTCCGACAATTTGTTGGACCTGGAGGCCCTGAAGTCTTGACATGATCCAGTCGTTCCGACTTTTCACTCCAGGGTTCCTGAACCCTAAACCTTGAACCCTCCCTTCAACGCCATACAAGGCACTGCTGGAGGCTTTTGTGATGAAGCTTTCCACTGCTCCAGGAGTTCCAGCCACAGGGCCTGCTGATGAGCAGACATCTACTGGACAAGCTTCCTGAGGCAACTTAGGGTTAAGAAGGGTTTCGGACTTAGGGTCAGGCTGCAGGGTTGTTCGCTTCCAACGGATTGAACCTACTCTTGGATCCACTCCTTTGTGCGTGTCATCGAATTACTCTGTTTAGGGTTTAGGGTTAGGGTGTCTCAATTGAGTGGGCGCTCTGGTGCCAAAAGTACCCAGGCGCGCACCCCGACTTGTTGCGCACCACCCCCGCTTGCGCTCCACCCTTGCCTTGGCCTTTGTGGGTTTAGCGCTTCCTTGCTTTCTGATCGCGCGCAGATATTTCAGTTCTTGTTAACAGTGGTCCTTGTGAAGCCCTTCCTAGAAGACCTCGGGTTTCGAAGGGCTTTGCAAGGTCCCTAGAAGTGAATAACTTGGAGGCTCCGGCAAATGTCCGAGGTCTGGCGTTGCAAGAGATGATGTAGGCACCTGGGAGGGCCGCCTCAAACCTCGACAAATCTCCAGGCGCCAGAAGAAAAGCACAGAATCAACCACCTTTAACCGAATCCTGGTACCCCTCCTCACATCGGTCGGAGTTTTAACCAAGGGGCTTGGGTATTTTCTGAACCCTAAACCCCAAGCACGGGTCTGGAGAACCCAGGTCTTCGCCTACTTTCTGGCAACCCCCAAAGATGGTGATCATGGGTGATCCCACGGAGCCCTTCCTTGGTCTTCTACTATCGAGACCTCAGTGTATTCACTGTAGCTCGGAAACCCGAAATGTTGGCAAAAATGTTCACCCTTTTTTCAGATCCAGATGTGAAGGGGTCCGACCTCCGGGTCGTAGGGCTTCCCTTGCGACTGCGCGTGGGGCTGGGCTTGAACCTGAGCTGGGGGTTTCGTGGTTTCTCTACCTTGCGGCCCCTTTTGGTTTTGGGGATTTTAACTATCTATGATGCGGAGCTCTGTATTTGAGGGTACCCAAAAGCACACCGCAGGGGGCAGAGACAGGCCCATTGAACGTTGACGCTGATTCTAGGTCAACGGCGGAGGGCTTCAGGCTCACGAGAACTGAGATCGCTTTGTGCCTCTGTCAGACACACGAAAAAGGGTCCACCTAGTGGACCATGGGCAAGGAGCCACGAGCTTGTGCCTGCTAAAGTCGAAGACCAGGTGGTTCATGGGCGAAGCCTGCGGAGACATGAGACTGCCAAGGCCTTCCGGGGCGACCTTTCGTTGCGTCTTCGTGCACTCTGCAAACCCCCCAATCTAGACCAAAAAGGACCCAAGGCTCCTGGACAGTGATGTGATCCTCTTCCTCGTAGGTGGTGCCCTCATCGTCCTTCAGAGCAGGCATGAAAGGCTTTGAGATGAGCTAGGGCCGTGGTCGCGCTGAGACGCGGCCGGAGAAGCTGGAACTTGCCTAGTTGCCTTCCGAGTCCTTGCTGTCGCTACGTGAAGAATGCTTAGTCACTTCCAAAACCGCACAGCAAAGGATGAATGAGTGTTCAGGGCCCCACCAGCGATTGGCAGCGCTCTCCGATAGCTGTGGCCACAAGATCCAGGCCAGGGACACCCGCCTGGCTCGCAGGGCTTTCGGGCTGGCGGTTCGTCAGGACCTGCCAACTTGCCACCTCACCACCGCCATCACCCAACAGACTTTTTCACCTAGCATGGGGTAACTACGAATGCACTGACCTGCTGCACACTTTGCAGCTGCTGGACACTCGACACTATTACGTGCGGTAAATGGCATGATGCACCTTGCAGATTCTGGGTGCTTGTCGGTATGTCAGGGATTGATCTCGAAACTTGGGGCCGCAGCCTCGTCGGAAAGGAGCCGTGTCAAATACCTCTGCCAGTCCTGCCGGGCTTATGTGGGAGGCATGTTGGGTGTGCTGAGTTGAGTTCAGGGTGAAGTATGTACCGCTCGCCAAGCGTTAGGTCTGTTAGGTAAGAATGTAGCAGGCTCCATATAGTGGCTTCAACCCAAGAGTTAAGAAGTCTCTTAACCCAGCGTCTCTGGACAGCTGCCACTGGAAATGGTAGCTATGCTAATTCGCGTCTCCGGCGTGGCTGATGCTGGCGCTGGCCACTCGCGGGCGAAGTCCTCCTCAGGATCTCAGATGCCGGCTGCGCAAGGCTTCATTGGGATTGCACATTGAGCTCTGTTTTCCATTCCCAGGGGGGCTACATCAGGAATCAGGCTTCAAGAAGGCCACGGAGGAATGGTTCTACACAGCCCAATGCCCCAAAACCTACAGACCCATGAAGACGTGTTTTCGCGCTTGCGGCCGAAGGATTCCAGGATGGGAAGCATCAACGAACCCTGGTGTCAACGAACCCAGCGGCATTGCGAAGTTTGGGGTTCATGCCTCCGTCCGCAGCTGCCTCCCTACCTACTCCCCGACACTTACCCATAAGCCTGAGGAAGCAGTCCTTGTACCGAAGACGAACAGAGTCGGTGAAGCTTTGCAGGTCCAGCTCCTCTCTTCTTCCGGTTGCTTTCAGGCATGTTTCTGAAAATCCCTAACACCCGGAAGTAGCACTAAAGCCCGAAACCCTTAGGGCTTAGCTCTTGTTTTACGTGGCAGGGCTTAGGGTTCAGGACTGGGGCTTGAGGATTGAGCGCTGTCCCATGTGGTGCGAGCATTGCACGGTCCTCCTCTCCAACTCGCAAGTCGAAATCGATGTCATATTCGGTGGCAAAGGCCTCGCTCTTCAAGCCAGCCAACAAGTCCTCCATGCTTGTAACGGTCTTGGGCTTCGTACTTGTGGACAAGCAAGGGCCTACAGAACAAACATTGCTCTGATCTTAGGACCCTACGTATCACCAAGCATGGGGCAGCCTAAGCATATCTGGAGATCATTGAGGGTGGTGTGTTCTATCAGGGCTGTTCGCGGCAGTTTCTTTAGTTTTCTCCCAGCAGCTTGAAGTAACCTTCGACCCGCAACCACGCAACCGCCCACCCACCCACACACATACACACACCCACCCACACACACACACTCTCTCTCGGGGCAGGAGTAGGTCGTAGGCGCGGGTGAGGGTGGGAGGCAACAAAGTTAAGGGTAAGGGGTAAGGGGGAGGTTTCCCTAGGGCGGAGACTCAGATGAGGGGCAGAGGGCCGGAGCTGGGCCCAGCTGGGTTGGGCTGGGATTGGCTTGAGGCTGCCAACTCCCCCCCCCCTCGCCTGGCCAGTGTGGGTGCAGCCGTGCTGAAGGGCCATGTGAGTCCGATCCACAGCGGCCTCTCGAAACAGTTCGTTCTTGTTTCAAAGGCAAGAGCATGGCTCGCCCTGTGCACTAGAAGCGGCTTTGCATGTGACCAGCCAGGCAACATGCAATGCTAAATTAAGAGCGCCTCTTTGGTTTCAGTTCGCTGGCATGTGACGCTTTTGCTAGGCACGGGGAGGAGGCTTCTGGAGGGCTTCGGCTCTGTGACGCCGCTCTGGCGCCTCGAAGTCCTTCTCCACGCTCCCCTCACGTGGCATGACGTTGTAGACGGCGCCATGGCAGGGCCGGGCGTCGAAGGCTGCGAGGAGCAGCTCTTCGAGGGGCAGGGCGGTGACCTTCTGAAGCTGGGGGTCGAAGTTCACCGTGTATAAATTCCTGTTCTCACCGTACGCATGGTGCCCCAGGAGGTGGAGGGCATACATGGCAGCGACCCTGAGGTGCTTCGCAGTGCTCTGGGCAGTGCTCTGGGCAGTGCCCTGGGCAGCGTTCTGGGCAGGTTCGGCAGCTTCTTTGGCTCCGTATCCTTGGCATCTTTGGCTTTCGGGCTTCTCTTTGGGCAGCTTGAAGGCTGCCACCGCACCGTTCAACAAGTCCAGCTCGGGAATGGCAAAGTGCGGAAATCTCTCCAGGAGGAGGCTCGGGAGCAAGGGCTGGTCCTCCGAGTCCGGCTCAAGGGGCTTTGCAAGCGCCTCGAGAGATTCGGCCGCATCTGCACTTGGGTGGAAATAGCGGTAGGACAGCGCCCGCTCATAGAGATCATTGCTGGGCTGTTCTCTCAAGTCGCAGTGCTGCGCCTCCCTGAACCTTGCGTTTTAGTCTTGGTTCAGGATCGAGATCTTTCGACCCGAAAGCCCGAAAACAGTGCACCCAAGAAACAACTGAAGTGCCGCCGTCTGGTCCTTGCGCTCTGCGGGGGTCAGCAGCACCCCAGGAATAGGAGGCTTGCGCCGCACCAGGACCTTATTCCAGTCCCTTCCCATAGTTTTTGCTGACGTCATAAGATGCTGCAACTATGTGCGGCTGAGGGCTAGCTTTGAGAGTCCGGTCTTGACTGGACCCTGGACTAACGGATCCTTGATCCCCTTGAAGGCGCATAGTCGCATCTATTTGAGAGCTCTTGGGTTTTGATTCCGGCTACGAAGCAAGAACAATCAAGGCCATTGCAGCAACAACAGCGGCACGACGAATATGCGAGTGGGAGCAGCCGTCCACGATTCAATTCGCTTGCTACGCTACGCATGCGGCCATTGCTAAGCCTCCCCCTACTTAAGCCTGAAAGACGCAAGGGCCCAAGGGGCATCGGTGCGCAGGAGCGCCTTGTGGTGATCCGCGTCGGCGGGGATGCCCTCGTGCAGAAGGCTCTGGCCAAAGAGAAGCCCAGAGCCGACAGAAAGGAAGATGTCCGAAGCATGGAAGCCGGCAGCTAGCCCGCCTCTGGCATCCAGCTCCTCCTTCAAAGTCATCCCACGATAATCCATTTTGGGCTGGACTGGGTGGAAGAATCGTGTCCTGCCTGCAGAGCTAAGTGGGATGAGCAGCGTGCACAGTGACCGGACATTCACGTCCGGGCTGAAGGGCGCATCCCGGTGGGGCTTCAGGAAGCCCTCGGGGCCGTAGGAGTTGACTCGGAAGCAGGAGTTCAGTCCTTCCAACTCCCAGTCCCCCTGCACACAAGCGAAGCCCAAGGGTCGCTTGCTCTGCTCTGCAAGCGCCTCCTCAACCAAGGGCTTTGCACGCAACCAGAGCTCCTGGGCCAGGACCTCGTCCCGGACCACCAGGCGCTGGTACCGCCGGGTCCCAGCGAAGTCGTCCACGGCCATCGGGGCCATCCCCAGATGCATGGAACCGACGATGATGCGGGAGGCTTCCGAGTCTGAAAGGAGCCCGGGAAGTCTCCAAAGGCCGTCGCAGGACGACGCGTGGCCAGGGTGCAGAACCTTGGCAAAGGTGTTTGGAACTTGGAACCTGAGAAGCCCAACTCCGGCCAATGAAGATTCTAAAGCCAAGCCCCCCCCCCCAGAGTGTCCGACCTCCAGCGGCCCAGACGAAGAGGGTTTGTCCTGCGCGAAGATCCTCAGCAGCGTGCCAGCTTGGCACTGGTCCTCGGCTGCATCATGGAATCAAGAGACCTCGAAGACCTCCCTGCTCTGCTAGGATCCTGACCCCTGGGCCCCGTTGCTGAGCACAACAAACTGACATCCTCATCAGCCCGGAACTCTAGAACCCTAAGAACCTTGAAACTAAAAGCCCTAGAGGTCGGAACCCTTTTTACATCCAGGCCTCTGAAGTCTGCAGGGTAGGTATGCCGACAGCCCGGAACCCTGAAACCCTGAAACCCTGAAACCCTAAACCTTAAACCTTGACGTAAACCTTGAACCCCACAACCGCCCGGGGCGCCATGAGGCAGAGGGCCGCATCGGACTCCAAGAACTCTGAACGCCGGCTTTGCAAAGCCGGCCTCGAAAAATCCCATGGCATCCCTAGACAATAAACCCTGAACCCTAAACTTTTGCGTTTAGGGTTTCCCCCCTCCCCCTCCCTATGCTCCCTGTGGTTCATGGTCTGTGGTTCATAGTGGGCTTCTGCTGCATGATCTGAGGGCCACGTGCGATCCATGCAAAGGACAAGCCCAGCGCCACTGGTTTAGGGTTAGGCTGTAGGGTTTTCGGGTTTTCACTCTGCTCTCCGTGAGTTTAGGGTCCAGGGTTTAGGATTCATTCCCCTCTCCCGCTGCAGTTCGTGGTAAGTTTACGATTCAGGGTTTTTCGGTCAGGGTAAGGGGGGTTAAGGTTGTTTCCCCTCTTCTTGTCTGTGGTTCATGACCGTGGCTTCAGGGTTGAGTTAGGTTTAGGGTTTCCCCTGTGGTTCGCCGTGGTTTCAGGGTCAAGGTTCGGGGGGGGGGGGGGGGTGGAGGGGTGGGAGGGGGAGGGGGGGGGGAGGGGGGGGGGAGGGGGGGGGGAGGGGGGGGGAGGGGGGGGGGAGGGGGGGGGAGGGGGGAGGGGGGGAGGGCGGGCGGGCGAGGTGGAGAACGTGGAGCGGGCGCAGTAAGGTTTCAGGATTTGGTTTGGGCTGAGGGTTGTCCTCTAAGCCTACGCCTTCTTCTCTCTACATCCTTTGCTCACTCAAGCCTTGAACCCAATCCGGCCTCCCTTTGCACACCAGTGCTAGATCTGCGGTGCCCACCACACGCACCCTGGTACCAGGCTGGATGCCGAGGTTGGCCAGGCTCTCGTTCTTCTCATAATCCCAGGCCAGCGTGCGCCTTTGAGGGTCTTTGCTCGACTCACTTAGGTTAGGGTTTAGGGTTTGAGGGCTGCTTAGGGCTTCTGAGGGATGCTGAGGGATGCTCAGGCATGCTGAGGTTGAGGGCGGCTTGAAGTGCAGCAGAATCTCCCAGCGAGGGCGAGCTCAGGGCGAATGGCAGGCTCGAAGCCCAGCTTCTCAGCGATTTTCACTCCGAACTCCGCCAGAAGGCACTCGGGATAAGCCTCAACATCCACCTGTCCAAGACTCGAACCGGATCCAAAAACAATTTCGGCATCCAACTCTTAAGACAAGAAGAAAACTGTTTGAAGCGTCCGCCTCTCTCAGGGAGGCTGTAGACGAGCCAGCGCTTTCCCCTTCTTCCTTCGAGCCTTCGTCTCGGCCATCTACAACCGTCACAACCCAGGACCTCCGCAGAAGCTGCAGCTCCAAAGTGTCCTCCTCTGCGTCCAATAAGTCCCGCAGAAGCTCAAGCTTCTCCAAGACCCTTGAGCCCTTCAGAAATGTCAGGGTGTGCAGCAACACCTGCTGCTGGCTCGCCAGCTTCACGCTGAGTTCGTGCACCGACCAGTCGCGGCCTGCAGAAATCACACAGATCTCCTGGCCTGTGGTGACACTCGACACATGCACAGCCAGCATGCCGAAGCTCAGAAGTTTACAGGCTTGAAGCCTTCAAACGGCCGCTGTCGGTGCCGGCGTGGAGGTGGTTTTGTTGCCCCGGTTGTTAACTCCTAGCCGCCGGGTCCAAGACCCTGTTGATGGACGTCTGCCCAACCTCTGTTTCCAAGCCACTAAGCACCTGCCCTCGGAACCCCTCCTAGCTCCGGGACACAGGGTCAGCTAACAGTATCATCAACTCTCTGACTCTTGTACCTGTTCCACAAGCCTCACTGGTCCATCAACAGTGTCTGGGACACATTAACCGCTGTTGGGTGCCAGCTTCACCTCTAGGACACATTAATCATGGTAAAGGACGAGGAGAGGTGACCACATGGCTTGTTCTGAACCGCTGGATGTTAGACTCGCGCACTGCTCTATGAAGCATCGAAGGAAAACATCCCTTACGGTAGCATCCTGTAGCCACTTCAAGAGCCATGGCCATCACAGCACACCTCCAACCCACCACATTGGACCCCCACTCCAACCTCAAACTATAATTCAGGACAGCCACAACGGCCCAAAAGTCTAACCTGGACCGCTCCAACAACCAAACACATACCGACGCGACCACCAAGCTCACCAAGGCTCGACGCTGAGTTTGACGGCCTGAAGCGCAGAATTGAGCTCCTCGCACTCGCACCAGGCTCGCATTTAATGAACACTGCCCTCGCCTTGAAATGTTCTGCTCTGTCACCTCCTAGACCTCCCGACAGACCCTCTTCCCCCTCTTCCCACCTTCGCTCTGCCATTGCCCTACGACCTCCCTTGACTGTGTGTGAGGCACGGTTTTGCCATATTTTTCCGCTATGCTCCTGCCTGGGGCTAGTCTCCCTCCCCCCTCCCGCCAACCCTTTTTGCATCTGGCCTCTGCCAACCCTTACCTTGAGAGCGTGTAGTTTTCCCCCATGGCCTTCCCAGGAGCTGCGCGCCATCTGGCCAGCTCACCGATGGCCTACGTCCTCTTGGGTCGCGTAGCGTCAACATCGCAACTTCGAGGCTCACCTGAGACCTTGTTGCGGATGAAAAAGCCCGTAAACTCCTAAACGCCTTTTTTGGCATCCTGAGCTTCTCCAACCAGGCCTCTGTAGATTCTCCTAAGGCCGAAGATGGGGCATTGTTGTCGGGCGCGGGGTGTTTGAATACATCCACTTGCACTTCGTTGAACTCCTGAATGTCGATCGTCCCACTGAGGTCGCGATCGAACATCTGGAAAGCCGCCCTAAGAGTGCCACTTCTCACTTCAAACTCACCGCAAGAATTCGACATTCAATTCTTTGCAGACCTCAAGAAGAAAGCCCCAGACCATCCAACACTTTGAAATTGTAGATACTTCCTGGCTGTTGACAGCCAAGGTGCTGGTATTCCGGATTCCTTGGGACTTGCCGACGGGCAAGTGACATGCACAATGCTTCGGACAAGGGAATAGCTATGGCCTCGCCAGGTCTCGCATTTTTGCCGTGGCTCAGTCAGCATGTCAACTGCAGGGACACTGATCCCTGATCCACAGACCAGGCGTTTTTTCCCCGAAAAGGTGTCCCCTGCGTGCTGCCGTGTAGACCGTAACCGTGCACCCGCAAGCAGCATCACAAAGAATCATAAGTATCATGTACAATTTCGATAGGGCCTCTTGAAAAAATCAACAACGAGGCAGATCCACAACAGGGGGATCCTAACCGCCATGTAACCATATCTCTGAACTATCGTCTCTTTTGGGGGTTCTGATTATACTGCGGGGCCTTGTGGCGCATTCCACAAGGGGACCAAAAAATGGCAGAACTGCCCATGTGCAGGTATGGGGCCGGACACACTGGCGCTTCGCCAGAAAGTCGGGTTCTTCAAACATCCCGCGCTTCCGGCCTTTGTGGGGTTCATGATTTTAGGGTTTTACGGGTTCACGGTTTCGCAGTTTACGGTTTGGGGTAGGGTTTATAGGGTTTCTCCCAGACTTCGTGGGGTTTGGAATTGGGGTAATTCTTGCCTAGTCGGCTGATCAAGCATGACAGATTGCATGTGCGTCCGTTCGTTGCCTGTAGGGCGCTGCCAATGCTGAACAAGTTCTCAGGTTTCAGCCAAAATTGGACGGACACAGATATCGAAAAAATGACAGGCTAACTGCGTTGGAGCTGGAGGGCCGTCCACAATAGTGGCAAAGACACGTTGAGAGAATGCTTTGCAAGGAAGCCCGCTAAGCAGAAAATCTCCCCGCACACTGCAAGCATCACCCCATATAGTACCTAAATTGCAACCACCCTGGTAAGGAGCTGGTAAGACATGAGACTGGCGCCCGTCATCGCGGCAAGCATGGCGGTCGCCGGAACCTCCACGAAGTGGTGTTGCACTGGGGTCACGGCGCGCATTCTAGATGCACTGGGCGTGGGCTTCAACTCTCTCTCGTGGACAACACAGGCCAGGCTTCGTGACACGGGGGGCAGCACAACAAACAACCAGTCTTTAACTTTAGCTGACCCGCAACCCTTGAGGACTCTCGCAAGCCCGGAACCTTTCCTGCCTGATCGCCCAAAAAGGCGTAGCAAGCAGATGTGCCAGTCCAGTGCTCACTGCTCAGCTGTACCGTGTCTGGAACCCAGGTAGCTCGTGGATATTAAATCCGGGTTGGGCATCCACCTTCTCAAACCCTAAATCCCTGGTCTCAGGATCTCAGAAAACAGGTGTGTCCACGTACCTCGAGCTGGATCTACGGTTCTCGCCTTGCTTGGCCCAAAAGTGCGCGCAGTCTTGCATGTCATGTAAGACTTGGGACTCGACCATGAGGGTTTGGGGCTGAATCGTTCCGGCGCCTTGGATTTAAAGAGGATCACTTTGCAGACTTTGAGCCTAGGGTTGGGGCTTTGTTTGCCTCCCCCGCACTCCACTACGGAGGTGGCACTCCGCAAGCATCACTTCTGATTTACGGTTTAGGCCATGTCAGACGATGGTTCTCACCTGGGCGTTGGAGTGTCTACCTGCATCAACCACTTACAATCCCTGTATCATTATTCCGAAGAGACCTCTTCCAATGCAAAATAGGCGCCTACATTGGCATCAATCTCTGAACCCCAAAGTTTACCCAGCTGCAAACCTCCACTCGGACTTTGCCCACGCGTCGCGTCTCCATTGCGCAAGGTGAACAGCCGGTGCTTCGAAAGGCATTCCGAGGCTTGATTTGGCTTCGGGTTCAGAGTTTTTTTGCCACGCGGGTTCAGGGCTCAAGGTTTGGAGTTTGGAGCTTAGAGTTTCGAGTTTAGAGTTCAGGGCGCTGCAACACCTTTGTCAGAATACTGCTTGTCATAGGCGCTTGGCAAGTCGTTTCAAGATATCAGAATTAACCTGACGGAACGGAACTGCATCAACTTTCTCGGCACCAGCCGGCAGATTCCAGGGGCGTACCATTCGGCAGCATCCCCACGCAACCCCCCCTTCAGCCTGCCACATGGCTCTGCAGTTCTTAGCGTCTGCCGGTCTGACTCTGGAGCTTTTTACCTGAAACCCCGAACTTCCCAAGTCCCTGATTAAGGCCCACAAGCCGCAAGCCTTTAGATCTGCAGGCCCTCTTCCCCCGCAAGGTAGTGCGCCAGCTCGGCGAAGCGGGGGTCCTCCTTGCAAGGTTCTGCAAATTGGCGTCACAACCCGAACAGCTTCATTTCACTCTGGCGCTGGTGTGAGCAGCCACTGCTGCGACATGCCACCCTAGCAAATGAGATGGCAGGTCCAATCGTTAAATAAGCGCGTGCTACAGTGCGACCTCAAGAACTGCACAGCAGCAACAGTCTCAAAGAAGGCACGGAGTGCAGCAGAAAAGCCACCTGAACCACGATGAGGATGATGGCGCGCAGCTCGCGAAGAAGCCATTGACGGCCCCGCCGCAGGTCCTCCTCCAGCAGGGGCTGAAGTGAAGCAACTCGTCATACCAATCTCCGATCCCGAAGCGCTAAGGAGCAAGCCATGACTCAACCAAACACCTCCAGAAGAAGTCTACCCCTTGTGCGTCCGAGGTGACCCCTGAGTGTCTGTTTATCTGAACGGCGGCTTTAAATTCATTAAGAACTCCTGTAAACCCTAAACACCCAATGATCGCCAGCAGAGGTCCTTAGTCCAAAACCAAAACAATTTGTGGATTCCAAACCTCGGCCTCCAGCGCATCGTTCTGGAAGGACGGTGAGCAGGCAGCCTCCTCCGCGGCGCAGCGCTGCTCCTCGGCGACGGCCCAGCAGACCTGCGAGCAAAAGCGCGAGATCTCATACAGGCTGCAAGGCTTGCGGGGACTGGTGGCGTTTCGGTTAGGGACCAGACCTGCTTTAGAGTAAGCAACCCTGAACACCCAAAGCCCCATTGGTCACTTTCTGATTTGGGTTGAAGGCGAAACATTTTTTGCGTCTCCCTTGCCTGGCCGAACTAAGCTTTGCAGGGAAGTATGTCGTCGGCCTTTTGTGTAGGATTCGGGATGACTTGGGGGCTTCGGGGTTCAACCTAAACCTACAACCCTGAAGCCTTTTTGGAACCGGACTTGATGACTGCTAAACCCTAAACCCCAAACCCCAAACCCTTCAGTACTATTCAGTACTGGGAGTTTCAGGTTCTGCCTCCCCAGCGCTCCGCACCAAGCGCTGGGAGCGGCAGAGCCCGAGGTCGCATCCATGGCAGCGCCGCCGCTCCTGGCAGGCTTAGGGTTTAGGGTTTAGGGTTTAGGGTTTAGGGTTTAGGGTTTAGGTTTTAGGGTTTAGGGTTTTTACCCACCCGTTTCGCAAGCGGTTTAGGGTTTAGGGTTGAGGGTTTAGGGTTTAGGGTTTAGGGTTTGGGTTTAAGGTTTAGGGCTTAATCGGACTAGGGGCTCAGGGTGCAGAGTTTAGGGTTTTTCTCTCCCTCCTGCATGGGTTTACGGTTTAGCGTTTAGTACAGTAGGACTTTTCTGGGGTCCTTAGGGTAGACTGCTCGCCGAGTGGTGGGCCACGTCCCTTCAAGAAGTCGATGTAAGCTGGATGCAAACCCTGCTTTAGGGGGCTTCGGGAGCTTATGCGCCGCGGGTTTGGGATTTGGTTTTCCTGGCCCTCAGCCTTCATGTGCCGCGCTGGTGGCCTGCTCACAAGCAGGTCGCCTTGAGAAGGCTCCCGAGGTCCAGAGTTTGTGAAGTCACCCTTCACGAAGGAGATGTGAAGTCCTAACCCTTCAACCCTAACCCCGACACTGGCTTGGAGAATTCAGATGATGGAGGCAAAGGAGTGACAGATAGGCTGCCGGCTAAATGGCTGAATGATTGGAGCCACCGGGCAATTTGACGGCTGGGGATTGAGGACGTGCAGCCGAACCACCCGCCTAGTTGAAGTGAGTCAAACTGCGGGGGCTTTTCGTGGAAGGAAGTGCATATCTCGAGGAATTGAGGTCCAGCCCTTGAGTTTCAGGCTGGGCTTAGGGTTGAGCCTATAAAGGCCGGCGTCCTGGCCCAAGCTGATGAGAAGAACGAGCTCCTTGGCCTAGACAGAATGCGTCAGAAAGATACTTCTGACCTGTTCTAGGGAGTCGGCGGCCAAAGGCTTAGAATGCCCTTGCCAACGCTCTGATTCACAGTGCTTGCCTTCAATCCGTTCCCTGTGCATGGGGGGATGATGACAAAAAGGACGGTCTGATGGCCTTCAGGCCTACACAGGCAGGCCGAGGACATGCTTTTTGAACCCTTGTCCCTTGATCCTAAACCCAAAAAAGCGAGGCAACAAGAACCTCCTCACGCTTGCGGCGAACGAGCCAAGACCGACGTTCGACTTCGGCCTGGCAATGATTCAGTGGTGCTTCTTTTCACTCCCGCACAGCTGCCATGTGGGCTTTCTTGGGGTTTAGAATTTCGGGTCGAAGGATTTTTCTGCTGGAACAACGTTAGACACTACAGATTCGGAACTCGTCATCGGTGTTACAGAAGGGCCCACGTGTCAGGGCTTGGGGTTGAAGCTGGCACAAAGCAGCCTGGGTGAGGGTTTCGTGGCTCACTCTCGCACAAGGAGGGCAAGGCTCTTGAGGTCGCTGTCTAGATGCCTGCGGGTTTAAGGTTAAGGGTACACAGCGTTTCGGGCACTGAAAAGGAACCTCAAATAACGAGCCCCACCTGGGTATTTCCTAAAGTCGGGGCATTTTTTCGCGTACCCAAAATGCATCATGATCCCGATTGTGGGAATCCAAACACAAGAGGAATACCATGATACCCGGAACAGTGGAAGCCCCCACCTCGAGCTGGATGATGGCATCCAGCAGCTCGTCCTCTTGGAGCTCAGCCTGTTCTCGATGCTATTGGTTTCTTTCCACACACACACACACACACACACACGGAGGCCTAATCTTGCATCCATGCCGCAAGGATGGAGCTTAGGGCTTCGCGCATACATGTAGGGCTTCACCGCCCGCAGCTCGGATAAGCCGGATAAGCCTTCGTCAAAAGGATTCCATGCACCAGAAACCTCCGAATCCTGAACCCTCAAGCCTGACCCCCCAGAGGTCCGATGAGCGTCGGTTAAGGAACGGTAAGGTCCCTACAGCTACAGCTTTGAAATGTTTCTGGCAGTAGGGGGCAAGGGGGCCTCCTTTGAGCATGGGCTTATGCGAACCCCAAAGCCGTGCACACTTTGCCCAACCCAAAGTCCTCAACTCTCCACACTCTACTCAAGAACCTTAACCGCTAAAGCCTGAATCCTTGTTATCGAACCGGCAAAACCCAAGGTCCTGTAACCCTGTGACCTTGATGTTTGGCTGTCAAAAGTTTGGTCGCCTGGCTCGGCTCGCCGGCCGTCAGCTCCGCACCATCAGCGCCATACTTGAAGCACACTTGGGAGAAGAGCTCCTCCTGTTGGACGACTAGATACACTGGTCACGCAAGGTTTTGGGCTCAGGGTTTGAGGGCCTAGCTTAGAGATATGGCTCTCCTACCCCGAGAACTACCAACTGCCAAACGAAGTAAAGTTCTCTGGCGCGAAGGATGCCCAAGGCTCGACACCAACTATTCCTCAAGATCCCGAAATACTCTCCCCGGAAGTGCGGGAGGTTGCGGGAAACCCCTGCCTCACGGCCCTCGTACTTTGTGAAGATGAAGGCAAGGTCGCCCAGCCTCTGTGGGGAGGCCGAATAGCTGAAGAAGTTCGAAGCCATTTCTCGTGCATCCGCCCCTCAGCCCCTCAGCCCCATCATGACTACTGCAAGCGCCCGAGTTGTTGCGATCCAGGGGGCATGCTGGGGTTCTTCTCCTGGTAGACCTTCCTAGGCAGCTGATGCCCGGCTCTGGCCATGTGTGCCGCTGAACAGCAAGTGGCCGGTACGTGCACTTTGAAGATCAACCCCCCCACCCCTGCTTCTCCTTAAACCCTACTGCAGACCTCCCCACCAGGTTCACAGCCCTGGCTCGTTACCAGGTGCCGGTACTGCTGCGCAGAGAGCGCCCTCGCAGGTGGGATGAACCTCAACAAGGCAAACCGGTCAGGCTGATCGGCCCATTTATCGCCTACCCGGAGGCCTACGGGTAGGCTGCCGGCAGGCCTATCCGTAGGCCTACGGGTAGGCTACCGGCAGGCCTACCCGCAGGCCTATGGGTAGGCTACCGGTAGGCCTACCCGTTATCCCTGCGGTAGGCCTACCGTAGGGTGTCGGTAGCCTACCAAAAGCCCTACGGGTAGGCTTGCCTGCAGCCTGTCCGTAGGCCTACCGGTAGGCCTACCTGAAGCCTAACCAGAGGCCTACGGGTAGGCCTGCCTGTAGCCTACCCGTAGGCCTACGGGTAGGCCTACCGGTAGCCTACCTACGGGTAGGCCTGCCTGTAGCCTACCCGTAGGCCTACGGGTAGGCCTACCGGTAGCCTACCCGTAGGCCTACGGGTAGGCCTGCCTGTAGCCTACCCGTTGGCCTACGGGTAGGCCTACCGGCAGCCTACCCGCAGGCCTACGGATAGGCCTATAAGTAGCCTCGCGTAGCCCTACGTAGGCCTGTACACAGGCTACCCGTAGGCCTAGGGTAGACCTACCCATAGGTCCGACGTAGCCTCAGTTTCGGGCTTCTGTATGCATTTATCGTGAAGATGATTCCGAGAGCTTCATCTGAGAGGCGTAGACAAGCACTCATCTTCGTGAGGGGCCATCGCAGCTGCATTGCCGAAGGGGCCCTCCGCAGCACAACAGCGTGCAGACCCCTGCCAGTCGCAGCACGCAAGGTCGGGCTCGGCGTGGCTTTGCGGTTTTGTGCACTGGTACGGGTTCAGAGGGGTAGGGACTCGAACAAACTAGCCCTGAAACTATTTGCAACAGTGGTGAGCATCATCAGGGCTCATGTGCTGGGTGCATGTCGATGGTTGCGGGGGTTGCCAAGGTCGTCAGCCCTACTCTACGTTGGGCCCAGTGCTGCAATTCAAGCAAACATCGGACGTGCAGATATGCTCCAGGCATTGGAGACAGCGACATGAAACCTCTAGAGCTCTAGAGCCTGCACAACACGCCAATGGGGGAAGCACCCAGCAGGCCGTTCTCCTGACAGGCATTGAGCGGTGATGTCGGCCACAGGGCATGTCATGGTTACCGTACATGTGTGTCTCTGTGTGCCCTGATGGTCCTGTTGATGATTGTTTCTATCTTTGCTTATGACTTATGAGAATTACTATCATGGTGATTACGGCTACTACAGTACGAATCTTACCGATTCCTGCCGAGAAGCGTCTGGAACAAGCAGACCCGGATCCCCCCCATGCCAAATTTTTTGACGCACCCCCCCCGCGTGGGACCCCCCCCAACCGCTTGGAGGAGCTGCAAACCGATGCCGTGGAGGGTCCCGCCTGTCGGTGGCTCCTACACGGGGAGTGCCTCAAAAACCACCACCCCCCCCACCCCCCCCCCACCCCAACCCCCCCCCCCACCCCCCCCCCCAACCCCCCCCCCCCCGCAACCCCCCGCCCCAACCCCCCCCCCCCACCCCCCCCCCCAACCTCACGCCCCCCCCCCCCACTCCCCCCCCACCCCCCCCCTTCGCCTTTTTTGCGAAACCCTCTTTCCTCCTTTCCTGTCCTGGGGCCGGCCCGGCTGCCGAGGCGGCGCGCGCAAGCGTTTACAATTATGATCCGTCCGGGGCTTTAGCTTTCAAAAGCATGCCGCTCGTCGGTGGGGCTGCAGGTCCTGCAACATGTGCCGGAAGAGCTCGTTGCCACCCAACCTCCAGCGGAGTGGTCTGGGTTTGGGGCTTATAGATGCTTACATTAGCGTGTGGTGAGCATTTGAGGTTCGAACTTTTTCACCTAAGAGAACACTACGGCACCAGGTGCCAAGATCTCTTAGCTATGCAGGAAGTCCGTCGACAACCGGTGCGGAAGCTCTGCCCAGTCCCGAAAGCGAATGTGCTTGAAGTACCTTCTACCTTCGAACACATGGAGAAGCGCAACTCCATCCAAAGCGTTGACACCGTTGACGGACTTTCTGCGTCGGGGCCTGGGCCCTGGTCCCTAATGCCATGCTTATGGTACATATACTACATATGCCAGCGTGTATGCATCGCGCACGTACACTCGCTTTTGCCGAAAGATGTATACATTGGCACGTACACATATTCAGAAGTATAAGTGTACATATATTCTTATCTTCCCCAAACTACTATAAGCCTTCTTACGATGGCACCCGGGTACATACAGTTGTGGGTACCCGAACAAAATGGGTGGGCCCACAAATCAGCGCACCCAACTGGGCTTCCAGACTCCATGGCCCTGAGCTGCTCTGGCTTCCAGGCATCCATCGTCCTTTGGGGGGGGTTTTGGAGGCGGAGTCGCTGCCCTCGACCCCTGAGATGCTTCTGCCAACCTTGGAAGGCACCAACCTGTGCTCACTATCTGTGAGCCACGTTCCCAAGAAGGGAATGCAAGTTTTGAGCCCCTGCGCGTGGTGGAAAACTCCCAACCTGGTGCCCGAACCAGGTACACCAAAAATGCCTGAAAACCTAAAATACCGACAACCTGACGCCTCCGGCCAGGCGCCCCTGCAGGGAACGCACGAAGCTGATGTGGACGCCCAAACCACGGTGCCTGCGAAGACATGCAACATGAGGTGCAGGCTGTGCAGGGTGCAGGTTGGTGCAGCTTTCCCCCCCCCTCCCTCACCCCCCTTGCTCGGTAGCGACAGGGTTTCGCGGCGAGTGCACGCGCCCCCGTTTCAAACAACGCGGATTGGCACTTTCCTAGTAAGTCGGACCTATCAAACTCCGCCCAAGCTCATCCCCTGTTCCACTCCTGTCCTGTCCGTTGTGAGGCCCCAAAAACAAAAATTGAACATGCACAACCCTTGGCCGGTGAAGTTTTCTCTTCTTCCTGCTCTTCTTCTACAGACTCCGAGCCCCGGCCGCGCTGGCCAAGCGGGGATACACTGGCTGTGACAAGTCCAAGGTCCCTTTCTTCAGGGCAGGGAGTGCACACGGAGGCTCCTTTGGGGAAATGAGTTCCTGGGCCCCTCCGTTCTCGAAGCTGGTCTGTTGCTTGGAATGGGGTTGTTCTATAGGTTTGAGAAGGCTGTGGGGTGGAAGGCTTTGGTTCCAAGATTTACCAAGCGGACCTGAGCCCAATGCACGCATGCTGCAGATGCCCGGAAGACCCTTACACCCTCTAAACTCTAAACTCTACACCAAATCACACTCATCTCCAAAGCATGCAAGGAGACCATCCGAAACCCGAAACCCGAAACCCGCAACCCTAAACCCTAGACCCTAAACCCCTAAACCCTAAACCTTAAACCCTAAACCCCAAACCCTAAACCCTAAACCCTAAACCCTAAGCCCTAAACCCTAAACCCCAACCCCTAAATCCAGGCGGCCTTCCCGAACATGAAAGGCCTTGGGGGTAGGTGCACACAACGTCTGCCATGCCACAAAAGAATGAGATGAGCCCTCTGAGGCGCTCAGCTGCGCTCTTTAGGGATTCCGCGGCGAGCTTTTGCAGCGACTCACGAAGCTGCATGCCAGACTGCAAAACCCTAAACCCAAAGCCCCAGAACACTCCCCCACACTTCGGCCACACGCCACGCCGCGAAGGCATGACGCGCTGGGGCCCAGTGCACAGGAAAATTCCGTTGGACACCTGGGCAACGACCAGGGGCTTGATTCTAGAACTGTCGAGAAAAAAATGCCCTCCATGAGCGACCTTTTGGATTCCTCCCAACTACTTCAACGACTTGGCCAAGCCAAGACTTTCAGAGAGCCTGAGGGGGGTCGCAATCAGCCGCGGGAATAACAGAGACTAACCTGAAACTGCACCCCCACAAAAAAAAGAAGGAAAGGATCAGGTGGTGCTCACAAGGTGGACATCAAATCCCAGGGCCGCCACAGATGCCCATTCGGGACGGTCTGCATTGCAGTCTATGCCTCAACCACTGCCAGATCTCTTCGCTTGGTGTTTTTTGAGGTGCTTTGAGTATAAAGTTAGGAAATCAGCTCTGGTACAGCCCCCCCATGTACGATCGTTTCAGGGATGATTTTTTGGGATGCCTCATTCCCTCATTCAGATTTTACCGATGTCAATAACTATACTCCAAGGAGTCCAAGATCCCGAGCTCGACCAATACCCCACACTCAAGAACCCAACTCACCAAACTCCTAATCCCAATCGCAGGCCTACTGTGCACCGTCCTTGTTTTCATATCCATGGCTTTTCAGATTCGCCGAAGCACGAAACCCGTCCCTGTCTTTCTCACAGACTCTGCCGAACAGAAACCCTGGTGTCAGGCCTATGCTGCATCTATACTCTCTGACGCTTGAAGTTTAACAGCACGGCTTTTCAGGGTGCATATGCCACCTGCAGCACATCTGTGCAAGGACAACAAGAACCACTCGAAGAACTAGCTACGTTTCATCATCGGCTATGGGCCAACACTCAGAGATCTCAAGGGCCGCACACTTGGTGTCTGCCGGGCGTTCACGTCGGACGGTCTGCACACAGGAGTCGTCGTGAATATGCAGGCGGCTCATATTATATTCTATATCTATGTCGCATATTCGCACCTCTATATATATATATATATATATATGTGTGTGTGTGTGTATATATATGTATATATATCTGTGTGTGTGCATTTATGTGTGTATTTATGTGTGTATTTATGTGTGTACTTATGTGTGCATTTATGTGTGTATTTGTGTGCGTATTTGTGTGCGTATTTGTGCGCGTATTTGTGTGTGTGTGTGTGTGTATTTGTGTGTGCATTTGTGTGTGTGTGTGTGTATTTGTGTCCGTGTGTGTGTGTGTGTGCATCTGTGTGTATTTGTGTGTGTGAGTGTGTATTTGTGTGTGTATTTATGTGTGTGTGTGTGTGTGTGTGTGTGCGTGCGTGGGTGTGTGTGTGTGTGTGTATGTGTGTATTTGTGTGTGTATTTGTGTGTGAATTTGTGTGTGTATTTGTGTGTGTGTGTGTGCATTTGTGTGTGTGTGTATTTGTGTGTGTGTGTGTGTTTGTGTGTGTATTTGTGTGTGTGTGTGTGTATTTGTGTGTGTGTGTGCATTTGTGTGTGTGTGTGTGCGTGTATGTATCTGTGAGTATTTGTGTGTGTACTTGTGGTGTGTGTGTGTGTGTGTGAGAGCGTGTGTGCGTGTGTGCGTGTGTGCGTGTGGGCGTGTGCGCATGTGTGCGTGTGGGATGTGGCGCAGGTGTGCGCATGTGGTGCGTGTGTGCGCGTGTGTGCGTGTCAGTGTGCTTAGTGTGTGTGTGCGTTGTTTGCGCGTGTGGTGTGCGCGGTGGTGTGCGTGTTGTGTGCGTGTGTGGGCGTTTGTTTGCGTGGTAGTGTGCGTCGTGGTGTGCGTGTGTGTTGCGGGTGTGGTGGTGTGCGTTGGTGCTTGTGTGGCGTGTGGTGGCGTGTGTGGGCGTGGTGCTTGTGTGCGTGTGTGCGTGTGGATGGGCGTGTGTGCGTGTGTGCGTGTGTGGCGTGTGTCGGGTGGTGCGTGTGTGCCGTGTGTGCGTGTGTGCGCGGGTGCGCGTGTGCGTGTGCGTGTGCTGTGCTTTGTGGGTGTGGTGTGGGTGTGGTGTGTGGGTTGTGTGTGGGTGTGTGTGTGTTGTGTGTGTGTGTGTGTGTGTGTTGCGTGTGTGTGCGTGTGGGTGCTGTGTGTGCCGTGTGTGGTGCGCG